CTAAATATAGAAATGTCATCAAAACACATGCAACAATATAATACAATGTGCTTTTTCTTTAAATCTAGGATAACATATGAACTATTTTCAGCTATTGGACAGTGGAAAAGCAACCTTCACACGTTTCAATTACATGTATTTCTCTGTCAAACTGAATTCCTGAAACATCACTCAAACTGGTGGAGCATGTTAGTGGAAACAGTGCTAAAAAAGAAAATGATGACAAATAATAATAAAAGAAGAAGAAACAAAAAGTCATCATCATTGAAGCTGTAAGCTTGGAGGACAGCTTCAACTGCTGTGCTAGCAAAAAAAAAAAATCAATGAAATTACACCGTTTTTTTCTTCTTCTTTATGCTATTGCCACGTTGTTTTCTTTCTGAGTATTAGGAGTTGCTGCAGAACCCCCAGCAAGTTGCCCATAAAGCAGCAAAAGCATCAGCCATAAAGCACACCCTGTAACAGTCGAGGGAAGAGGAAGATACAAGATGGTTCCAGCGTGCAATGTCTGCCAGTGGCAAACTTCAAAGATGATTAGCAAACCAGTATGGTTAGTTTTTATTCTTTCCAGTTAGAAATCTTTCAAAAATGTCACACCTAAAGTATTTAATTGCAATTAAATACTGTTATTAGTACCATATTTTTTGGACTATAAGTCGCACCGGATTATAAGGTGCAATATCAATGAATGGTTCTGTTTTCATACATAACGCGCATTAATCGAAACAAAACAGTCAGATAAGTCAAATTTTATTCAACTCATTCACAATAACCACATAAAATCAGTTCGAGGTCAGTAAGCACAACCACAATTAATACATAAGGCGCACCTGATTATAAGACTCAATGTTGATTTTTGAGAAAATTAAAGGATTTTAAGTGCACCTTATAGTCTGAAAAATACGGTACCAGACCTGCAAATAAACAGTTTATGGTCATTTCAAACTTGAGTTAAATATGTTCTGCATTACTAAAGAGTAACCCGTACATCTGCAGTTTATTAGGTCAAGTACACACAACTAACAATTAAAAAAAAAACTTTTGTTAAAGGGAATAAAAATCCCAGAGTAAAACCTGAGGCACAGCATGAACCTGCAGGGTGCAAATAAAACAGAATTTGACAGGATTTGCTGGACAGTGTTCATCCCAAATATAATTTGACTGGAAAGTGTGAGCGAAGTACAGAAAAACACAAAGAGAAATACTGAGCCGAGATATAAGAGAACGAAACAACTCCACTGTGGAACTCGTCTTTGTATTTCAATGGGCAAAAAAAAAAAAAAAAAAAAAAAAGTTAATAATTAAACACCTTCACCCCATCACCGTGAGCTCCGGGCAATTATTTTTACGAGTTCTCTTCCAGGAATGCTATTGTACAGAACTCTAAAAGACCAAAGGCTTTATGGTAGAAGAGGGCAAAGAAGGTGAACAATCATTTAAATAAAAAGCCTAAACAAGTCACATTTACCAGTCCAAAACTTTAAATACTTAGATATGATGAACTATTTCTACTGCACAAACTGCATCTTTTGGTGCATCTTCTAAAGAAATAGTAACAAAATAAGATGTTGATGTTTTTGTTTCTGGCAGTACAGTGGCTCAGTCGGTAGAGGTGTTGTCGCTTAGCGAGAAGTTCGTAGGATCAAATCCCGGCCAGGGGCCTTTCTGCATGGGGTTTCTCCGGGTACTCCGGTTTCCTCACACAGACCAAAGCCATGCATGTTAGGCTGATTGGTGACTCTAAATTGTCCTTAGTTTGCCTCTATGTGTCCCTGTGATGGACTTGTAACCTGTCCAGGATGTCCCCCGCCTCTCCCACAGCGACTTATAGATATGGGCACCAGTGATGTTTTTGTTTCTGTTTGTCTGCACATTCACATTTCATTTATGGATTATTTTTAAAGGCATTGCAGCTAAAACTTGATAAATATATGAATGCTTATTAAATGTCAACAATTCAACTGCTGGATTTACTTTAAAACTAATGTCAGACTCTGCCTTCTAGTTTTATAGCTGCGTCTCAACAAATGTTATAGGCCTGTAAGACGATCAATAAGCCACAGGAAACCATTGACAAAGCTGAGGTGACAGTCCACATAAGTATCTTTCAGCATCTACACATGCGCACACACACGCACACACACACACACACACACGCACACACACACACACACACACACGCTCATGGATCTGAATACAAATGTATGCAAACATGGAGACAGATATAAACCTGAACACAAGCCAAGCATTAATATAGTTGGGGGAGGTAGGATTTATTGAGCCATATTTCCTTCTCTTTTGATTAAAAAACGTCTTCTTCTAGCTGTGATTTATGTGTGTAAATAAAAAAGAATGGAAGGCAAGGAGAGTAGGTGAGAGGGAGGGCGGGGCGAGAGCGGTAGGAATGACATCATGCTTTCAGTTGGGCTTTTCTGCAAAACGGTGGCATCCTTTCAGTCCACCGAGTGGGAGTGAACACAGTCGGACAAGTGCACTACTGTGTGTGGCTGTGTGGGGGTTGTGTGTGTGTTGAGGTGAATGACGGTCCTATATGCATCCGTGTATTTTTCAAAACACGTTAGCATGATAGCTCTGAGTTGCCGCCAAATTGTAGAAAAGTGAAGAGAGGAACAACAAGTGTCTTCAGAAGAGAGTCAGAGTAAAATGTATTGAGCAGCTTTAAAATAAATGGGCAGGGAGGGGATGTGCATTCTGCCAACATCAAACCTAAGTGGCAATAAGAAATAAAAGAATCTGAAGAGATATTCTTCAAGTAACAAAATTCTAGTGAAAATATCCTTAGCAGTTCTTTAATACATTAGACATTTGTTTGACATCTGCCTGTGGGTAATTTCACATTTCTTTTTGCCATATGGGCAGAAAAACTCTCCAATTATGCGACCAGACACTCAAACCACCAGGCAATCACAGGCAGATGTCTCTGATGCAACATAAGAAAAATAAATAAAAAAAACTCAAGTGTTCCTCATGTGTCCCTAAAAAAGAGCTAATTGTCATAGAGTAAAAGGTTAAAAATGCATTTATCTTGTAAATTACATTTAGAGACATACACAAAAAGTGTGTTAAATTATAAAGATATCTTTTACTCAACTGTACACTCACCATCACCTCATTTGGGACTTCCAAACAATGAAACCTAAGAGGGAACCTCCTTACCTTGCCATCACTCATTTATTTTCTCCACGGAGCCTCCTCTTTGCTTTGTCTCTTTAAAGCTGCTCTAAGCCCATCTTAAAAGGGAAATGGTGCAGAACAAATCCTAAGCAGGAGTTGACAGAGCGGGATAGAAGACTACTAACGCTCCCCCATAACTTACATCTGAGGTTTGGAACAACAATCAGCAAACGGTGAGCAGCATCACGAATACGTGACAAATACGTTGCTATTCCAACCTGAGTAATCAATTAAGTTGCACACTAAATGTGGGCTTTGAAGCTCACAATGTATGAGAAAAAAATATAAAAAAGCTTCTATAAAACAGCTGACGTTTCTTTTTGATGTTTAGTCATTGTTTATTCATCGGGCCATAGGTCAGATGAATTAAAAAAAACAAGCAAACGCCCGCAGATAAATCAAAAGTATGGTTCTTGACCCGTGTCCTGACCTTAATGCTTGAATGCACTTTTTTGTGTCTTGCTTTAAGTCTATTTCACTTTTGCTATGCAGAATTGGTACATTTAAGCCTCTTTCCATTAGTAATGGTACTGCACGGTTTGACTGGACTCTGCACGGTTCCAAAGCTTTTCCACTAGCAATGGTTCATGGAACCGGTCTCTTTTTCAGTCCCTTTTTCTCTGGGGCTCCAACTGTAACGTGCTGGCCTTAAAACGTGACGTCAGAACACTGTCAGTCACTGAATGGTCAGGGGGTGGAGTCAATAGATGTTTGAGAAAGTTTCACAACAACCCGATCCGCCATTTGCAATAACTCAAACTCAAGGAGCGACTGGACCTATTTGTAAGATTTTAAAAACAATATTGTCAAAACCGTGGTCTAATGCTGAAGTGCAGGCGGGTTTTTTTTGTGCTTGGTGGCCAACAACAAAATTCAGAGCGAGCTAGATGGAACTCCGGCAGTCCTCCCGGCCCTCTCCACCACAGCCTTGGAGCCCCCTCAGGCCGGGCAAGACATCAACTCCCCGGCTCCGAGCTCCGCCGGTCACCACAGGGAATCCTCTGTGCTGTCGACCCACAGCAGCGCGAGGCTAGAGTTCGATCAGGCTCTGGCCTCGCGCGCTCCTGCAGGCTCCGAGCTGAACCCACCCACTAGAACCATTACTGAAAGTATAATGGAAACACAACTCATACCGTGCTGAGTCGAACCGTGCTGTACCAATACTAATGGTACTAATGGAAAAGAGGTATTAGACACTTTACTCTCCATTCAAAGCCTTTCCGTTTTCTGCTAAATGTTAAAAGTTGAGATAAAAAAAGCATCCACATTTTGTTAAAAATGGAAGTTAATTTGGGGGCAGCACGGTGGAGCAACTGGTGGAGCTGCTGCCTCTCAGCGAGCAGGTCCTTGGTTCAAACCCTGGTCCAGGGGCCTTCTGGGTGGAGTTTGCATGTTCTCTCCGTGCATGCGTGCGTTTTCTCCGGGTACTCCGGTTTCCTCCCACAGACCAAAAACATGCATGTTAGGCTGATTGGTAACTCTAAATTGTCCCTAGGTGTGAGTGAGAGAGTGAATGATTGTTTGTCTCGTTTGTCTCTATGTGTCCCTGTGATGAACTTGCGACCCGTCCAGGGTGTACCCCGCCCCTCGCACAGTGATTGCTGGACATGGGCACCGGCGACCCCCGTGACCCAAAATGGAATAAGCGGGTAAAGCTAATGGATGGATGGATGGATGGATGGATGGAAGTTAATTTGCACATAAATGTGGTTAAAGACTTAATAGTACGACCTTTACCACAGTGTTTCCTAACACATCACATATAAAAGCTGTATGATTGTAACAGAGTGGATCTTCATACTTACAAAGGGCCTGGGAGCAGGTGAGCAGCAGCGATAGCAGCAGAGAGGTCACATGCAGCAGGAGTGGCAAGGAGAGACGATGAGCGTCACTGTCGGCCATCTTGGCTGCAGCAGGGTAGGGTGGGGCAGGGGAAGGCAGGGTGGGACCGATCGATGACCTGGCTGGTGAGCCGAGGCCCCGATTGTGCCGGGGAGTTCAAGGTCTTCACGCAGGTCTGCTTTGCGCTCTGAAAAAGCACAGAAAATAAACATCACCATTTGACGTTTTAAATATGGTTTTACTTGCTTTAAAGACAACAGTGTGTGAAAATTGAATATTTTATAAACAGTTTTACATGTCACTTTAACTTAGCACTTTATTCTGGGTTTCTCGAGGTTTAGAAACGTGTAAATCAGTGAACTGTTTAAATTTGCAAGAAACCAACCTCCCTAATCTTTATTTTCTTAAAATGCCAATTTTAAGACTGCTATATTTTGCAAGTGTTAGATCACTCACAAACATTTAGCAAAAAGCATCTTCTCACATCCTTCTCACATTTGCTCTGCAAGAGCAAATCCTTTTTCTGTTCTTTCTATTCTAGTCGCCTAATCTCATTATTTGCTTATCCCATTGACTTGTATTTACACAGACATTTGATAATATTCCAAGCATGGTCTCTTTGCTTTAGTCAAATTGCCATTAATCCCACATGATAAAGGAAACCTTGAGTCGACACCCACCACACTAATTCTCTCAATGACGCAGCACAGAACCACCTTGTAGTTTTGCACACCCTTTAATTGAAAATAAATTTATTAAGAGCCTGTATCATATCTATTAGTATCCCCTTTTTACACTTACACAAGCGCCATATTGAAAACTGTGAGTAGTTGAGCACTGTTTTTTATTTTTATTTTCCCCTTTCTTCCTCATAAACTCATAAAACTTGGAAAACTGGATGAATGTAAAGTGTAACTATGGAGTTTTGGAGAGTTTAGGATTTTAAGAGTTTAGGATTAAATATGTTTTACTTCTTCCTACCCTTTTTCAGACATGCTAAATGGAATTTATGTGTGTGCATGTATATGGGTATTTATACATACGTACTGTACATAGGTGTGTGTACATTGGGTATGTACTTATTTTACAGATTTATTTATTTGTGTGCACTCAGTCAAAGCAGATGCATTTACTGATATAAATTGATTTTACAAGGGTTTGTATTTGTTCAAATGGGCGTGTATGTATGTGTGTATATGTGTAGGTCTGTACTTTGTATATATATATATAGATACACAAATTCTTATTTGTGTTAATATTGATATGCCCTATACAATGGCTTTGACATGTCTGGAATGCATCAATGAAATAAAAAATAAAATAAATAAACAGCAGCACTGTTTGTAAGTAGCTTGTAGCAGAGTCCGCCTCAGCAATTGAGCTGCAAACATAAAAACACGATTGTTCAATCCCAAAGGACTGAAATCACAAGAGAGAGGGTCACACACCTGTGACATCCAGGACCTGCCCTGCTTTATTGTCCTTCTGAAAGACAATGAACTCTTCTGAGATCCAGGGAAGGTACTACTCTGCTGAGACTACATGAGAGGTGAGGGCCGTTTTCTAGAAGGGAGATTAATTACCTGCACACTAGGTGGTTAACAGGGTACAACAGTGCAACCTGTGCAGAGACTGAGTAATTTATTTATTTTTTCTTAGTGACCTGGAGGTCAAAAACATTGGAAGCAGGTTGAACCCTTTGATCCTTGAAACGGTTACCTTCAAGATGTCTCCGAGGACATTGTAAACGCTTTTCTTGGCTACACACTGCAAGTTTTTATAAGGCATGTTTGTGACTGAGCTGTGAAATGACTGCAGTTGAAATGGCATCACAAATGAAGCGTCTTGACTAACCGCATACAATCAGGATCAAGGACACGTGGGAGGAAAAAAAGCCCATTTGATGGCTACTACTGAAAGGCAACACGAGAAAAGAAAAATATGCTCACATGGCAAATGCATTTAATCCAATCATCAGCAGGTTCACATTTATTTTCATTAACTTTAAATGCATGTTTAAAATACCCCACCCTGAAACCTTGTCTGTCAGAGATGTGAACCTGAAAAATGTGACTCAAGACTTTTACAGCTAATATTACGCTATATACCTTTTTTACAGAGCTTCGCTTTTGACTGTGGCCTTGTGAGACGCAGAAAGCCACAGTTAATTGCAGTGTAACCAAGCACCTCAGACAGCAGGCATTTAAAAGTGCCCCACCCTCCTTCACAACTTCTGGACCACTCTGTTCAACTGGCAGAAAAAAAAACACAGCCGACACATGCAGCTGTAGGCCCGCTGAAAATAAAACCCCAAAGACATACAGCAAAACGCAAGCTGTGACAGAGACTCTATTCACCTCTAGACTCTCTTCACATATGCAATTTAAATTGAGAAATTCAAGAACACATGACACGGGCAAACCTACAAAACCACAAAGGGAGAGACCAACAATGCATCCTTTGAGACGATCCCATGCCAACAAGAAGATGTTATTCAGAGGCTCTGCTCACCTTTCATACACACACGACCCACATGTGTGGCCTTTTCTTTTGTTTGCAGCTTTATTTCTTTCATTTTCTTGGTCTGAAAGCAGGTGATGTCAATGTTTGAACCAAGGGAAAAGCTTTATATAAAGAATAGAGGAGTATCAAATTGTCTAAGGGACTTATGAATGATGCCCCTATTGTCACTGTAAACATTGCTGTAGGTGGTGGGAATCTTACATGCCTGTAGGGATTTATATCTTTGCTCACAAGATGCCAAGGTTATGATTTATGGCTTTCCCCTTAGGGCATGGCTATCCTCACCTCTGGTTGCTATATAAACTGCACAACACAATTACAACAGCTATTGTTGTTGAACAGCTTCACCATACCTAACCTAAGGCCATGTGTGGGAGGTGGCTTAACCTTGCATGAGGTCTACAAAGCCTCATGGTGCCTTCTTTACTGAAATGTAAATAGAAGACCGATAATAGACCGAGATTTAAACAGAAAAATAGATGTTTAAACTGAGCATTTAGGGATTTAGGAGGATAGAATCTTACAAAAGCAAATGCTTATTGAGATAATACTGAGAAAAACTGAGTCATGTTAAGTTTTATCATTGATGTGTGGTGCTGTACTCGCCTGTTTTACTGTCCGAATAGGAACAACCTGAATCATGGTAACATTACAAACTCATGTCACATCTTTTGTTTGAGTTGTGTTTAAAACTGTACTCTACTGTGAAAAATGGCATTGAAAAAGCATTATGTTTGCCCAAAAGAGGGCACCTCTGTGCCAACACTTGCCAAGGCCCTCTTAAAACCATTAATCGCTTTACTTGTGGAAATGGGCAGACTGACTGCTACATGCTAAATAAGTGATTAGTATTCTGGTGATGCTAGCTGAGAGGCCGGCCAATTGATAAACCCTCAGCCTCTTCTACGTTTGAAGGGAAACAGCTAATAATCCAGTTTTAGATTTTAAGTCAACTCGCAGGACTAAAATCAACTGCTTTTGCGGCAGATAACTAACTTCCATCATATACTGTCATCCAATTTAAAATGTTACCTAATCCTTGCATACGTGTTGCATCACATAAACATTGACAAAAGTTAAGAAACCCCAAAAAGTTATGATAAATTCAAAATGTTAAAATATCCCTTTGACACCGGAAAAGTTATCAAGTATATATTGTTTCGATATAGAAACCATTTTATTTTTATTGCTTGCAGAAATTATCAAAAACGCTGCATTTGCTTTAACTTTAAAACTATTTAACACTCTACACAATAACAAAAACTGAAGAAAAACATAAATGTTAAACATTTAATTAATAATAATGAGACAGTAATAACCATTTTCACAGTTTAATCTAAAGCATTTGACTGACCAAATCTGTTCATTGAACTCTAGGCCATTCCCATTGATGGGCAATAAATATATTTTTCATCTCAAACGTTTATCATCTGTGAAAAAGTCCCATCACTTTAGGTATTAACCCAATGTCAGGCTTCAGTAATTACAGCCAAATGACAGCACAATTTCCACTGAGTGGTAGCAGTCACTGGCTATCAGGGACTCTCACTTTGACATGGTCAAGCTTTAAATTCAACTCGTTTCCTCATGCAATATTGACACTAATGCGTTTGATTGCTAAGATTGAGAAAGGCACATGAGGAATGAGGGGATGGGAATTCGCTCCATAAGCATGAAATGAGGGCAGAAGCAGTAGATGTAAAACTTGTGCACATGCACAACACTATATGATCCAAGTAAATATAAGGAAGGGGAATATATACTGTGTATTTAAAAAAATAAAAAAAATAAATCTTGATTGAAAGTGAGATGAGTGACTGAAGACAAGCTTTGAAAAGTTTGAACTTGACTTAGAGCTAACCATTTTATTTTCTCAGAAAATATTTTTCAGTCACTTGTTCTATTTTCCATTGAAGGATGCAGAACACACACATGTGCAAGTAAATACCACCATTTTTATGTTCCTATCTAAATTCTGCTTTCTGCTGTTTCTGCTCAGCCTTTTTGCTGCTCTCTCCCTCTTCAGTCTTCCACGTTAGATGACGTTTTTATGCATCAGCCCTGAGTCATGGTGCTTTTACCTCCACTGGTTTACTACCTTTAATGAAATCATAGCTCACAAAGAACCAACAACACAGATGTTAAATGCAGGGTCACTCAGGTTTACAGTATATCATATGTCTTTGTTTTTACAAACACGAAGCAGAATGCAGTTGCATCTTATTGTATATATTTACATGTAGTTTTGCTTTCCATAACTTTTAGCCCTGCTTGGTTTAATTTTGCATACAAGTACTTGTAGATATGGGACTGGAGAAGGGCATGGTTTTTATTTGCTTAAGGCCCTCTGCAGGAAGGGGCAATCAAAAAGCCTCGAATGAAAAGGGTTTCAAAAACAGGCATGAGTGAGCATGGGTGCCATCAAGATGGTTTATACGTGGAGCCAAGAACTTCATATTTCACTTCTGATTGTAAAAGTAAATAATGATTCCTGGTTTTTGTTTTACAGTGTACACAAATTTAGATGTGCTTTAATATTTTATTATTTTGTTTCTGTAACTGTAACTGTATGTGACTGCCAGGGGCACATCACTTGCACAAGTACACACAGCAATGAAACAAGCCCATGACAACTATTTGATTTTTACTATGCTAAAATATTAA